TTTGCAGAGCCAGCCTGGACCCAGCAAGCAGCCGTGAGGACAGCACAGGCTTTGCAGAGCCAGCCTGGACCCAGCAAGCAGCCGTGAGGACAGCACGGGCTTTGCAGAGCCAGCCTGGACCCGGCAAGCAGCCGTGAGGACAGCACGGGCTTTGCAGAGCCAGCCTGGACCCGGCAAGCAGCCGTGAGGGCAGCACGGGCTTTGCAGAGCCAGCCTGGGCCCAGCAAGCCATGGTGAGGACAGGCTTCCTTCCCCCGTCTCCTCTGCACTGGGACACAGTGGGGGAAACGTTCCCTGTTTATGCCTGCATTACTTAGTGGAACCTAAGATGTATATTGCTTTATTCTTGCTGAAAGAGGGGAAGTTTCCTTTCGGTGAGCACTGAACCCTGCTGGCTGCAGCCAATGGTGAAGCGGACCTCAGGGGGAGTCTGACCTGACAGCAAAACCCCACCCATCAGTACCAGCCTGCAGCATGACCTCCATCTGCTTTCTCCAGCTGCAGTGACTAACAATAAATAATACATTCTATTTACAGGTTCTAATAAGATCTCTCTTTAAGGGAGGACGAAACTGTATTTTGTTATTACTGAACTAGCCTATACAAAAACATGTGTCATCTTCCAAAACGCAGCAAACTTATCTGAGAATCACAGTACTCAGCGGACAACAGCAAACACCTCCAGGTGGACGCAGCGGTGAACGCACGGGCCTTCCTCCAGGTCAAGACCGAGTCTGTCAGCCAGCAAGCTGCCCTCAGAACTCTGCAGGTCTGGGACTGTCATGCTGCTTTAAGACTCCTGAATGGGACTGACGTGTACCTCTGCAGGTATAAATAAGGTCATTTAGAAATACCGACGTGGGACGTACTGTCGCAGCACGGAGGAGGCCATGATGGCGAGGGACGAACCAGACATCCACCAGGCTTTTGCTTCCGGTGGGTGTGGACATGGGACTTCTCATTCATGTAGCTGGAAAGGACATTCTAGCACGGGGATTAGCCCCGAGAGAACCACCACGGGTATGCATTCAAACTGGGATATTTACAAGAAACATGTATATATAATATTTATATATTCAATTAAAAGCCTGGACAACCAAGCCTTTTAGTCAAGTCCTGAACTTATTGCAGAATGAGGTAACTGAGATGTTCGCAGTGGGACTGACGCAGCTCAGGTCCTCAGAGTTGATCCCTCCTGTGTGGATTCTTCAGTGATGGTTTGATCGTCTCCATTCGCAGAATAAGCTCCAGCTTTTCTATGTACAGAGAGCAGGGTGGCGCCCCACCCAGCCCTGCCCTGCGGTCCTGAGCGCACCCTTCAGAGCTGGCCTTAGACAGGAAGAACTAAGGACATCCCTTACAGATTGGTCTCGTCCCAGGCAGGGTCGTTCATGTTCTTTAGGACTTTCCTCACCAGCTTCTCCAAGTCTTTGCGGGCTCTCTGCTCTTCCTCTAGAGACTTCTTCATCTTTTTGTTGTCCTGTAAATGAAGCAGATTATGCTCACTATCTCTGGTACTGCGTAGGGCTTCCTTTCCCCAGATGCGTATCCTCGAGGAGCTAAGGCCTCAATTCATGAAATCCTGCATGAGCTGCCTGTGGACTGTGAGGTCATGGGGGTCCGTGAAGGTTAACCACCTGGACAGGGTGGCGGTGCTCCTGACTCTGCAGCTGCTCCTGGGATGGAAACGGTCCTAATGGCTCTTATGAAGTCCACAAATGAATCTCTATAGAACATACCGTAAGAAAATGGCTGGAAATTGCAGATAGGATAGCTCCTACCCAGCCTTTCTGTGCATTTATAAGCACCTTCCAGAGTTACGGAAAGGACTAGAAGTAACAGCAACGGACAGGTGCAGGAGTGAGGGCGTGAGCACCTGCTCTGCGCAGCTGAACCCCTGCACGTCTCGGGATGAGGAGGCACGTGCGCTGGGATGCGTGCTGCTGCTAGGGGCAAAGCGTGAACACGGGAGCCCGCCCACCAGCCAGAGGTGTACCTGGAAGCCCAGCAGACACTGCGTAGAATGGTGGAGAACTGTGCAGTCCCACACGGCAACCTGCTCTCAGCTCTCTATCCAGGCCACACTCCTCAGGCCGCTCCTCAGCCAAAACAACATCCCAACCTTCCCCTGTCTCGCTGGACAGGGGGCCAAAGCCACTCATATTCATATTACGTGCCAATGTCCAGAACACCCCTGCTGAGTCACCACATCTGGCTCGTTGACCTGGCTTCGGAAGCCAAGGACCATCCAGTGGCAGAGGCTAATCTCAGGGGCACCCCACAGGATTGTCACCAGACAGAACTTTCGATATTTTAAAATTAATCTTTCAACAGAATTTGCCATGGTTTATGACATCAAAATCAGTATTGTCAAAAAAAAAAAAAAAAAAAAAAAGCTTAAACAAGTCACTTTACAGACAACCAATTGTTTTATCTGCTGGACTTCTGAAAGACGCGACTTCCTTTCAGTTTTTGCTTATAGACAATCAGCTGATTTTTATTTATATGTAATTTTTTTTGAGACGGAGTCTCGCTCTGTCATCCAGGCTGGAGTGCAATGGCGTGCTCTCAGCTCACTGCAACCTCCACCTCCTGGGTTCAAGTGACTCTCCAGCCTCAGCCTCCTGAGTCGCTGGGATTACAGGCACCTGCCACCATGCCCGGCTAATTTTTGTATTTTCAGTAGAGATAGGTTTTTGCCATGTTGGTCAGGTTAGTCTCAAACTCCTGACCTCAGGTGATCTGCCTACCTCAGCCTCCTAAAGTGATGGGATTATAGGTGTGAGCCACCACACCTGGCCAGCTTCTTTTTAATATAGTGGTTTTTTTTCCCCATTTGGGGAAAAAAAAAAAAAAAAAAAAAAAAACTGAAAGATGGATTACGACATACCTGTCTTAATTCTTGCACTTCATCCTTTAATGCGTATACGGTATCCACAAGACTCCTGAAACAGGAAACACAGCACACACATAAACAGGGTGAGGTCTGGAGAGGACACATGGAAGCTTACCAGGAGACACTACAAGGCTGAGTGGAATACACAGGGCTGCTCTGCCCTGGCCTGTGGACTATCTAAACACTGCCGACCTCTGTGGATGGCAGGTTCACACCTAATCAAGCCTAATCAAGGGAGCTTCAGTTTAAAAGTGAATCTTCTGGCCAGGTGCAGTGGCTCACGCCTGTAATCCCAGCATTTTGGGAGGCTGAGGCGGGCAGATCACTTGAAGCCAGGAGTTTGAGACCAGCCTGGCCAATAGGGTGAAATCCCATCTCTGCTAAAAATACAAAAGTTAGCTGGGTGTGGGCGCACATGCCTGTAATCCCAGTTACTCAGGAGGCTGAGGCAGGAGAATCATTTGAACCCAGGCGTCGGAGGTTGCAGTGAGCCAAGATCACGCCATTGCACTCCAGCCTGGGTGACTAGAGTGACTCTCCATCTCAAGAAAAAAAAAAAAAAAGTGAAGCTTCTGAAGTCATACCCCCACCCTCAGGGAGTTGTTCAGACTCTACGACCCCACTGCAGAGGTCAAATGCCTGCTTTAGAATACTGGAAGAAATCTTACTTTTCTTCAATCACTGTCTGACCATTACTTTTAGTTTCTTCGACTATAATTTTCTCTTCTTCTGGAAGCAAAACTTGTGGAGCAGATTCTTTGCGTGAACCTAGGATCATGAAAACATAATAAATAAACCTCAGGCGAATACCATGGCCGAATGAAGAAAAATAACTTGACTATACAACATCACTTAAATATGAAATTCTAGCAACTATGCGTTTAAAAATATTCATCCAGGCAAGCTACAGGAGGACATCGTTTATCAGTTTTCTTCACCTCTGTCTACTGAGCCCAGGCCTCGTGACCAAAACCATACAGAGGAAAGGAAACTGGAGCCTTTTAAAACTCTGAATTATGAATGGTTTCAACCCTAACATTTCCAACAGGGAGGAAGTTAAAGGTTGTGACTGTACTGCTCTGGATATTCAGCCCATTTTGACCCATTATTCCAAGTTTCAGAAAGGCATATGAGACCAAGCAGAACATATACAGTGTTTATAAATCAAAGATCTGGCAATAAAAACATTTCACGCTACAGCAACATTTAATAATCAAGATATTACAGCATCATAGCATATGGTTTAGAAAAAGCAAATTTTATTATTTAGTTCTTTATGAAAACTTTATACTTCTGGAATATAAACATTTTTCTTAATGAAATAAACTGCTCACAATGTCAGAGGAGCATTTGTGTCATATAACCAACACTCACACAAGAGCTTATATGGGACAGGCCCTCAATAAATGCTGCAAAATATGTACTTTAGAAATGAGGAAATCAAAATACTCATTTTAAAAGGTGAGGAAGAGAATTCAAATTCTATTTAACAATGCAAGGGAGAAAATCTTAAATAGCATTTTCTTGAAGATTATATAGTGTGATAACGAGTACCATTTATATTTTTGAAAACTTATGCCAGGTGCAAATCAGAGGAAAGCTATAATCTATCACAGAACACAAACGCCTGCAAGTGGTACTGTAATATTTCTCCGTGAAGAAAGCACACTCATGCCCGAGACATGCTAACTATGGAAACAGTGCCTCCACCTGCTGGGTCTTTCTTCTGGCTTGCCTTTCCTTGTTCCTAGAAGTTTGTCAGATCATAAGAAAGGCACTTCCTGTACGGCCTCAGTCACGGGAAAGCTCAGTACAATACGAATGTGTTATGAAGACAGGATTTTAAAGAATGGCCTCACCAGCATTTCGCTGCATGCTTATGCTCCTGAGTGGAACACAGTTAACCATGACGCCAAAGCTTGGTAAGATGGCTCACAAGACGTTCCTGACACGCGGGGGCACCACTGCTACTTCCACAGCAGTATGCAATGGGGGCCAGGACTGGCACTCACTGGCCATGTGCTGTCCCTCGTGCGTCTGCAAAACCTGCTCTACCCCTCAGAATGGCACCACTGGGAAACTGGAAATCCAGGGACTGAACAAAATCAAAACATTGTGTTCCTTCATCCTCTCAGGCCTAAGAAGAGTAATTCCCGGAAGGCAACCAAGTGCCACTCTATGTCACACAGCACAAGCTTCAGGAGACACCTGTCACATCAATAATGGGAAATAAGGATAACTGCAGGATCTTAGGATCAAATGCAGCACTTAAAATTGCATCACAAGCCATGGCTGGCACACCTGTGTCTGTGTTAAAGTGGGTCAAATGCCCCTTTAAAGGCAACCCTCCCTCCCGCTCACACTGTCGTATCCCCACTGTGCTACCAGCTGGCAACAGCAGACCTGGCACTGTCAGGAAAGGAAGGGGGGGCACAGCTCCTCACATGCAACCCCCGGGCCACAGTCCACCCACCCATGCATACCGTGACCTATGTCTCGGGAATAACTTTTTGGACAGGACATTGAGGCCAGATTTCAGAAAGATGTTTTTAAAAACATGAGGCTGATACTATCAGCCCAAAGAATCTCTACAGGCCCAGGAGACGAGGACAGAGACAGCCCTTCGGGCTGCGAGGGCTCCCATGGTTCCAGGTGCCCATGCTCCTAGAGGCCACAGGAGAGGACCCTGAGGGCGGCGGGCTCTGGGCTGCCTTCTGGTAGGCCCTTCCAGGCTAACGGGTAATGCTGCTGAGAGACATGAGCCACACGAGAAGATATTGCTTAGGATGGAAACTGATTTGTGAAGGAGATTACAGCAGAAGCGTGGGGTGCTAGCCACGTGGAGAAGCTGCCAGAGCTTCTCATACAAATGCAAAGGGTACCCATGTTCCTTCAAGGAAACATTAATTCATGTGCTATTTGCCCAGAAGATCCAGAAAGTAATTTCATAGAAAATAAAAAAGAAAATAAACATTGAAAATCCAGAATATTCACAAAGATTCAGATATTTATACCACATGTGAAGAAATCAAATGGCTTCACTTACTCTTCCCTGCAAAGTGAAGTAAGCCGACAACATTGCACATTTTCGTCAACTCCTAATTTTCCCACCATTTACCCATTTGTCCTGCTTTGAGCCCAGACAGTTGATGACTGTTAGAGTCAAATCCACGGAAGGTATGACTCGCGTATCTCACATTCAGGTCTGCAACACATTTCTTCAAATGGAGTTGCTAACGAGACACTGGAAAAAGTGATGTAACTGCACATCAGGCAGATTAAGTTACGTATTTCAATTATTTTTGTCTCTTCTAGCTTCCTAGACAACCTGTTTACATCACCTGTTTCCAGCATTAACATTTTCCAGTGACATGTAAAATGGGATCACGAAGAACGTCAACCTTAAAGAAATGGGTCAGACATGGCGTCAACTTCCATACGGGACTCGTGAGGGCATGAGCCGTGTGTCCACTGCCTCCAGCCAGAGCTGGGACACCCCTTGTGGTGAGTCTTAACCTGGGCACATCACTTAAGCACTGAGTCTCAATTTCGTTCTTTATAAAGCAGAACCACCAAACTACTTCTCTAGAGCTGTTCTGAGCATTTAAATACTACATTTTCTAAGTATCTTTTAACAGATAAGCTCATAAAGATAAAAGTCACTCCATTATGTAGCATCTAAGCCTGTAAGAACTGGTACAGTTACTGCACACGCATGGCACAGGTCTTATGTCTGCAGCTACACTTAAAGCATGCAGGTAGGATTTAGTGATATACAAATATAAGTTGGAAAATGTGGTGTCACAGACAGGATGTACTAACTGTTTGATTCCTGAAATGTACTAACATGAAAAATGCCATTTATGGATCTTAAAAATGCCAAGGCCACTTGTCCATGAGGATTATTAACATGCCTAGAAATCACACAATTCAAATAATCTGCCTAGTTTTCAACATACAATTTTTCTAAAATGAAAATTTTTACAGCCTTTCAAAAATCAACAAAGAAATGCCCAGCCAAGTTTACAATGTAAGTTGACTATTTCTTTAAAGAACAATGTTTTAGAAAGCAGATTTAACAAGTTATCTCAGAAACTATTAAAGTGTTTTTAGAGGCATCATGGCACATTTTTCCCAAGTTACCGAGGTTGGAAAAACAATTTTAACAGAATTATCAGAGAATTTTCTGTCACTTTCTTTAAAATCCATAACAGAGGCTCAGACATAGGAGAACACATTCATGATGGTTCTAGCACAGTCAAGATCTGTGTTTCCCAAACTTTTCTGTCTCTGGGAGATGAGAGGGGTTCCACAACACATCATTTCAGGAAATGCATGGTGCTACATTTCTTGGAGATTCACAGTGTGGCGCAATATAAGCTTTGATGAAGCCTGCCGTAAAAATACTCGCTTAATCTTAATTCAGCATTTCTGAAATGCATTTCAGTGCTGAACTTTTTTTTTCTTTTACAAATCATTATTAACATCTTGTGGTTTTGTGGCTAACATTTTGAGAAGTGCTAGATCAGCTTATAATCTGTTTTGATGACCATATAACACAAAACTGATTGGTTATTATTTCCATATGGAGGTGGGAATAAGAAAAACATGAATATAATGAAATGATTCATATTTAACACCAATCCAGTACTTCTCAACCTCAAGGACTCCCAAGAATGTGCCTATAGATGCTCAGTGTCTACCCACCAAGCGCTGAAAAATCCTGCAGCAACCATTCCACTCAAGGGTTGCTGTGCACCATGCGGCTGGAAACCCCGGAAGGCACCGGGCCCCCACAGCAACACTCACTCAGAGGTGTGATCCAGAGAAGCCTGGTACACGTGTGTTAACATGAGCACAAAAGTTAAAATTTTAGAGATGTCTGAGAACCCTGCCCCTTCTCCACCCCAAATATTCACATATCTCCAGAGAACTATAGAGGTTCGTTTAAGAAACACAGATCTAATCCAGTATTTCCATTTCATAGATGAGATGACTTGCCACATCAGCAACACAGTGGTGATCAATCCCTGGGGCTCCAAGTATCGACTCACGGCCACCATGCTTGGCTGTCAGACACCATTCTGGGGCCTTATCTGACGACATACAACTAACTGCTTCAGGAACAATGCAGCGTCCACTGTCCAGTCCAGGCACCGGTGTGGTGTGCACACATGCGTGTGTATGTCTGCCTGTACCAAAAGCCTAAAGATAGTTTAAGTTAATCAGAACAGAACATCTGTCTATCTGGCCAGTGATCTAGGACATTTACAGGAAAATTCAACTTCTTAAAATTCATTATCTTTCTAAAATCTGCATCAAGTCAACTGAAAATCAAATAACATTCACAGTGGAGCAAAATACGACTACACCTAAAGAAAAATGATTTAATAAGATCTCTCCAAAAGTCATTTTGTTATTTATGGCTCTAGGAGTCTAATTTCCTTTTCTTAGGAAAAGAAAACTCCCATCTCATGCCGAGAGAGTTCTCTGTATTTACTGTCTGCACCTTGTCCTAACACTATACCTGCCACCAAGAACTTCTTTTCCTTCCCCTTTATTTTGTTTCATTGCTCTCTTCTTGGCTGGACAAGCACTTTATTAAACAAAAATTAAAAACCGGCCTTAGTCTAAATAAAAAATTTTTAAATTGCGCTTTTTCTTATGTATGCACACACACAAAAATAATGCTTCTTTCTGAAGACAAACTGACCAGTGATTGAAAACTTTTTACAGATGAAATAAGAAATGTACAAGGAGTGACTTTGTCTTGTCCAGAACATAGCTAACTTAAGGAAGTGCAAGCGTCCTCTTCTATCAGGACAGGCAGAAGTGTTCTGTCTGTCACCTGCCTGCCTCTGGAAGATGTTCCGTTCAGGTAGAGGAACCAAATCGTACTAAACTGCAAACTATGCTACTCCCCTCCCCCATGTGACAAATATTAAAAGCCACGGGCTAGCAAATGCAAAATTTATTTCGACTGTACATAACAGATTTTTTATAAAACAAACACTTCATTGCCATATGCAACCACAAACAATAATATGCATACTGTACAATACAATGCAACATTCAGATATACATCCAATTGAGTTTTTCAAATGGTAGTCACCTACTAAAAATGGCTTTTCCCATTCACAGATAAAGAGCACAATTAAATAGATTTTTTTCAAGATCTTATACCACTATATACACATTACTGTGTTTTGGCAATTTTATGCAAAACACAATTAATATAGCTTATTATATACTTGTGGCAAGTGTTACTTCAAAGGGAACACCCTTGAGGCCATTTGCAAAGGCCTGGTGATGGCTTAAACCTACCTTCTAGTTCAGACTCTTCATCCTTTCATTAGAATACTAACTGTACACATAGATATTAGAGAATTGCATGAACAGAAGATACTATTATCCGCATGACTGAAGTCCCACAAAAGTAGAAACACGGGCCCTCTGGATACCATATCACCACTGCCACAAGAGAACTGTCTTTTCAGGCCTGTGGTACTAATATTTCTTAACCAGGTCACAAAAGCTAATGGTGTTAGACATTCAAAACAAATGCAAACAAAGAAAAGGTCAGGTTATTATTATGCAGTGATCTTGGCATCAACAAAAAGCATTGTCAAAATGCCTTGAACTGGTACAAAATGGAATGATGGGAAACTGCTAAACTTTGGTGTACAGAATATCAATGAAAATGTCCTGGTAAGATAACCAAATGATACTTGGTATTAAAGGAAAATCCAAGTGCAGCAACTGTGAGTGTTGTGGTCTACACAGCCCACGACATGGGCAACCTCTGAGAGAAGGCAAAGGCAGCTAAGCCAATGCACTGATAGGTCATCTCGAGGCAAACAAAAAGGTGCTCTCTGATGCGGAGGACTACCGTATGTTATACAAAACCAAAATCGCTTCTAAATCCACTCATAGGAAGTATAGAAACTTTGTGGTTACCTTATTTCTTCAATAATTCCATTTACTATCTGGCTGAACATATATAAACCCCATCTCTGCCGGAGAGTAACACTGGGATTTGATTAATTTTAGAAGACTGCTCCTCAACTTATTTTTATTAATTGGTATAAAAATACAAAATCTTCTGTGGCATGAGCAGTTCAGTAGCTGTTTTGGAACAGACCAATATTTGGAATTAACAGCTGCCCTGATGCCTCCTGTGCCACCAGCTTGGTCCATTCTGAATGAAGCCACCCAACTTTCTAAACAAGGTGCTACTGCCAGGAGCTCCCCGGCAGCTCTGGGCTTGTGAGCGGCAGGACCTGGCTCCCAGGACAAGACTGATATTGCATCAGAGTTCATGCTGCACACACAAGATCAGAACACTGAATACGTGGGTTTGGCGAAGGAGTGGGCGGTGGGGAAGAAAGAAATCACAGCCACCTGGAATTACAGCCACCCTAAAGAAGGAAAAAATGTTATTCTCAATTTATGATGGCACCTTGTTTTCTGAAGCTGGTTTCAATGAATACTTAAAACACAACTGTAAGGTTCCATTTTAACACCAAATAGAGCGTGCATGGGAGAGAACACAGTTGGCCCCTCAAGCAATGACTAGCTGTGGATTTGATGCTGCAACTGAATGCAACAGGTCACATTCAGTTCTTTCTGAAGCAGAAACTGGTCTGAGTAAAGCCAGTGAAAACTCCTTACAACAAATCCCAGGAAAATGGGGGATTTTTTTAAGTGAGCAACACGGCAACCTAGTGAATCTTCGACAAACTTCAATAACCCATTACAAGGAGGCATTGCCATTTTATTCTATGGGGTTGCTGTAAACGGAGCTTCACTGCAGCTGGTTGCTGAAAACAATGATGTGTCCATGGCTCTTCCAGACAATGTAAGTATGGATGTCAGGGGTGGGGAGCCAGGGGGGATTGAAGCCACAGCACTTGACTTTTTAAGTATTCCAAATGCCTCTCCAGATACAGGCTCGTAGTCTACACTTGCAGAGGCTGAATGCTTCAGATTTCGGACTTTAAACTTTTAGTATAGAGATTTTACTGTAGAGTGGTACAGGCTTGCTAAGTGCCATATAACAGAAATCATTTCAATTCAGGCAAGTTTGGGGTGAAGATGAGAGTGAACATCTGAGCCATGACAGTAAGCTCTGCCTTTGGAAAGGAGAGCTCCCACTTCACGGCCACAACGCAGCACACGGAAGAGCACAGAGCCGTGAGGTGGAGACAAGCTCTGAACACACGTGACGCCCGCCCGTCTGTGCACCTGCCAAGGCCCAGAGCCCACACGCCGTTCTGCATGATTACCAGAACACAGCCCTTGAAACGGGGCTCACAGCACCTTTGCTGCATGTATTCTTCCCATCTCTCCACAACTATTTGATCAGTGTTCATTATATTTAAAAAAATTTAGGTCCCTACAGATAAGGCCAGAGTCTCCTCCATGGTTCTGGCACTTAGATCACAAACCTATGTGATTTCAGTATAAAATAAAAAAGTGTTCATACGGCTATATGCAGAAAGAAATCAAACAGTTGCTACACTGAGAATTAAAAAAAACAAAACAAAAAAAAAAAAAACAACATTTGGAGCTATAAAACAACAACCACCCATTACGAAGAGCACCCTCGGGTGTAGGCTCACATGAACACACCACCTCCCTCCAATAGTCAGTCATTTGAATGTATACTCGCATCGGCAGTTAAGCCTCCACAAAGTACAATGGGAAATATCAGGAACACTCTCAAAAGTTGTTAAAATATCACATAAAAGAGACAAGGAACAGCAAGAAAACATCTAAGAAAAGCAGGCTGCGATACAACAAGCATTTGTTAAGAAAAGCTCAGAAGTGCATTAGTTCTGGTGAGAGATATATGAGCAACAGCTCTTACGAGATGTAGAACCCATTCTGTAACTATGGGCTGTCCATATACTGTCATAGTCAGAGTCTTCCGAGAGGTCTGAAGGCTCCAAACGAGAAAGGCTACTGCGACGACCCAAGGAGTCTAGGCTTGGTTGGTCATCATCAGCCAAGACGTGATTATGCATCAGGTCAGTGCCTTGCCATGCTAAGACGGGCGGGCGGAGGGACAGGCGCGACAGGCAGGGGGTGAGGAGGAGAACGACAGGAAGAGCCACAACCAAAACATGGAACAAAAGCAAAAGGTGATGGGAAGAGAAGGAAAAGAGAAAACATTGTTAAAAATTGGCAACAATGAATATTTCTCCTTATATATGGCTGGGTTTCGGTAACGAACGTTAGCAAAACCCTTAGAATAAAACTAGATCGATTATTATCTAATTAAACCTAACAAAATGCTTCAAAATTGCTCCCTTTAAAAATAAAAAAGATATTGCTCTAAAGCCCTCCTTTAATAAATCTTTTGCAAATTACACCCATGTCCAAAAGATGAGTCTATAGACATGTGGCAATTAACCAATTCTATTCCACATTCAATTAACAAATAGTCTCATTTAAGACATCATTTGCAAAAGGTACCATTTATGTGGCTAATTAAAAACTGTTTCCTATCAATAAACAGATGTATCAAATGCAAAATAATTTCAAAGGATTTCTTACAGGCTTCTTCAGCTGTCTCTTTGCCAAGACCATAAATCCCAGAGGGAGTCTGGACTTACCTGATCAATCAATAACCACTGTGAGAACTCAGAGGACAGAAAAGGCCTGGCCAGGGCCCACAGACCCAGAACCCACCACCTGCTCCCAGGGCGCACTCGAGCTTAGCCCACAGGCAGGGTGCAGTGGGCAGCTGGGTCTGCTGGCCATGCAGGCCACCCCGATGCAGACCCTTTGCTGGCAGGAAGAGAGACGTGAAGTGGAAATGCCCCGGTGTTAAAAGGAGAATGATAGAGGAAGTGGAACAGCATGGCAGGAGAGAAATACCATGAGTGGCTGGTAACTTTGAGCACTGCCATGGGCTGAGAGGCAGGCTGCGCTGCCAGGGCCTCCCTCCATGCAGAGCTGGCAGGGGTCCCTTGCTGTGTGAAGGCAAACCACAGCAGCCCCGGCCCCTCCCTGCTCCTGCTTCTCTCAAACTGACCTCTGTTCCCGGGTTGCAAGAACTACGTCATAACAGGCTGTGAGGGCCATTACTTCCTGGAGTTAGAAATCAATACCAAGGAAGTTTGGTTTACAAAGTCTTCTTGGCATCCAAATGTGTGAACAGAGCTGCATTTTAGGTAAAATATATTATCCTTCTAAAAACCATTTTACTAAGCACTTAACGTAAAATAGCTGCTTTCACTACAATCCCATTTCCAAATATCTTAAGTATAACACCTTTCCAGCACAAATGAGCAATTTCTCCTACTACTCCCTAATTTTGAGCGTAAGGTTTAAGGCCATATATGAAGATAAGCTCCCTGAAGCCCCAGAGTGGCTTGCCCATAGTATGAATTAAAAACAAAAATCAATGTATCATTGAATGCTTTTCTTGCACAGGAGAAATGGAAATACAGAATACAGGCAATGTGACAAGAAAAAAGTAATCGTGGGTCATTCCCCTTAGGCAGCCAGAGGCGGTGACGCCACAGCATGTCATAGGGTCCTGGGCAGAAGAAACGTGGCATGCACAATGACACATACAAAGCTCAACCCTCAGCCGGGTGCCTCAGTAACCACCAGGGATTGGTTCCAGGACTCCCCTCAGATACCAAAATCCTCAGACGCTCCAGTCCCCAATATAAGTTGGCATGGTGTTTGCATTTCACCTACACACAACTTCCCACATACTTTGAGTCATTTCCAAATTATTCATAATACCTAATAAAATGCAAATGCTTTTATAGTATATTTTTTATTTTTATTTTTTACTGTTATATTGTTACTTTTTATTGTTTCTTTTTTTCTGAGTATTTTTTGATCTGCAGTTGGTTGAATTTACAAATGCAGAACTCAGAGACACAAATGGCCAACTGAACCTGGTCTGTTCATCTGAGACTACTGGGTTAAAATTGTATTTCAAGTAACTGAAATTCAGATGACAAAGAAATCTCAAATTCAAAATGCAAAACATTATGGTCCCATTTCATAGCCTATTACTTAAAACATGATCAATATCAAATTATGAACATGTAATACTTTCTATACATATTTATTCCACATTTTGATAGGTTACCCAGGCCTTTCCATTTCTCTATTTCTCTCCTATTCCAATGAGTAGTCACTACAAATTGGTATTTTTCATCAAAGTATGGACCAAAAAACCAACAGTGTTGACCCTTGGCAAAAAGTCTTAATGTCATAGGTGGGACACAGTACAATACCAGCAAAATACTGGAAAAGGAAAAGAAAAAAAAAAAAGCAGCTTCTAGGTAATGGAGGTTCCACGAAGGACTGCCCCTGCTTCCCCTGTCTTCACAGCTGTATCTGTCTTTTATAAAAGCTAAGGCAGCTGAGAAGTGCTCTTCCTTCTCTTTCCTTTTCTCAGTGTTAAACAATACATGACGCTAATTGGAACCACCACACCACGGGTGATGAACAAAGTGAGATAAGTGACCTGCCCACAGTCAAGCTGGAAAGGATGCCAAGGCCTAAAATTGAAAAGAAATCAGTTTCTATGCTAAAGTAATACAGAAATCATCCAGTTCTCAAAAGGACAACCTGTGGTGTCCGAGGCCCCAGCACCATGTGCCCACATGTCAGCTGTCCCGGGCACACAGATGCCAGCAGAGTAAAGGATAGGCACGCTGCCTCGGCTGCCACCCTGCTCCACTTCACTCCCTACACTGAAGGAAAATTTTAAAGAAAACAAAGCCACCTTAGGACCGGGCACTGTGTCTCACACCTGTAATCCCAGCATTCTGGGAGGCCAAGGCAGATGGATCACCTGAGGTCAGGAGTTTGACACCAGCCTGGCCAAAAGAGTGAGACCCCGTCTCTACTAAAACACAAAAAAATTAGCCAGGCATGGTGGCGGGCACCTGTAATCCCAGTAACTTGGGAGGCTGAGACAGGAGAATCACTTGAACTCGGGTGGCGAAGGTTGCAGTGAGCCAATATCACGCCATTGCACTCCAATCTGGGTGACAGAGAGACTCCGTCTCCAAAAAAAGAAAAAAGCCACCTTAATAGAAAAAAGTTTTTTCATTTAAGACACCATACATCAGACACAGATAAATCCTGCGGTTCTGAAATCTACTGAATAAGTTTGTTGTAAATTGACAAAAAAATTTTTGAAAGCAATTATTTTTTTAAAAGGCTAAAAGAAACCTTGCTTAACGGTCTGTATTTTGGACATCTCCAAGCAGCTAAAAATATAACAAAATATCCAAGAATTCAAGTACCACACCAATAGTTTAAACTGAACTAATCTTCCACTATCTTCTAAACACGTCTTGTCTTAGCAAAAGCATTATGAATTCTGGAAATACCTTATATTTAAATATTTCCTAGTATAATTTTATCTAGAAAATCACACAGCGATTTTGCCCACAGCTCAGACCCAGCTCCCTGAATTTAGGAACCAGAAGCTCTGCTGCTGTCCTATCGGCCACCCCCCACTGAAGCCCCGCACTGAAACCTCGCAGGTGGGTTCTGCAAGGGGCCCACCACAATGGGCTTCTTCGGACTGCAATTTGAAACTAAACAGAAGAGACCACCACAAGTCTCAGGCCTAAATTACTGTGAAACTTACTTGAATTGAGTGTTTGCCTTGTTTTGGCGCTGGTGCAGTAAGCCTCGATGACTTTCAGAATCTGAGCATCTTCTTCCAAAGCAGCTGTGCCTGTCGAGAGACACACAGCAGGTCAGCATCAAACTAGAAGGCCTCTAGTGCAACCGGCGTGACGAACGCAGACATTAACTCAACCAAAGTGAAAAGAATCCGCCCTTTACTTTCTTGTCAGATAACTGTTTTCTAAATATTTACAAAAGTTATATTAAAAAAGGTTTTCAGTTTTTAAAAAATATTTTATCAGCAATGCATTTGGAAAAAGGCAAATATCCTAACTTTATGACTGTCCTACCAACCCCTAAGAAAATTAGTATCCCTACTCTCAAACTGGGAAAGGGGCAGGAGGTAAGAATAAGCAAGTCACAAAACAAGAAGAGTTGTAGGAAAAAATGTCCAATCTCACTGAAACAAGAAATGAAAATTAAAACATTTTCGTGTTTCCACATGCCAGTCAGACAAAAACAAACAGCCAACAACTCTCAGTGTCATGAGGGCATCTCTGGCCTGTCTGTTCCCCACACAGCAGCCCACGGTCCTGTGAAAACCCGGGTCCCATCACCCTCTCTAGCCTGTCTGTTCCACACGGCAGCCCACAGTCCTGTGAAAACCCAGGTCCCATCACCCTCTCTAGCCTGTCTGTTCCCCACGGCAGCCCATAGTCCTGTGAAAACCCAGGTCCCATCACCCTCTCTAGCCTGTCTGTTCCCCACGGCAGCCCACGGTCCTGTGAAAACCCAGGTCCCATCACCCTCTCTAGCCTGTCTGTTCCCCACGGCAGCCCATAGTCCTGCGAAAACCCAGGTCCCATCACCCTCTCTATCCTGTCTGTTCCCCACGGCAGCCCATAGTCCTGTGAAAACCCAGGTCCCATCACCCTCTCTAGCCTGTCTGTTCCCCACGGCAGCCCATGGTCCTGTGAAAACCCAGGTCCCATCACCCTCTCTAGCCTGTCTGTTCCCCACGGCAGACCCTGGTCCTGTGAAAACCCAGGTCCCAACATCTTCACTGTCTGTTCCCCACACGGCAGCCCCTGGTCCTGTGAAAACCCGGGTCCTGTCATCTTCTCTGCGGAATCAGACTCTGGCTGCCTGTTGCTCAGGGTGCCATGTCACCTCCCGCTCTGCCAGGGGAGCTCTGGCCCACAGAGCATGCTGTTCCTTGAGCATAGCCTGGGGTCCTGCCCAGGGTCTCTGTGACCAGGCCTGGAGGGCTCCTCCCCAGACACCTGCTTGGCCTCCCGGCGGCTCACATGGTGTCCTGGCACCTAGTCCCCCCTGCCCTCCCCACTGGGTGTCTGTGCCACCCCACGGCCCAGCACACACTCTACTGTTCACTCATTTTGTGTCTTGTCTGCATCCTTCTACTAAAACATGACTCTATGCAAACAGGGAGCTCTTTGGTCCACACCTTGTCCCTTGCACCTAGCCCATGAAGGTGCTGACAAAGCACACGTCCATGAATGAGAGTCTCAGCTGCAGCCAGCCCCATGCCCAGCTCAGTGCTGCCCCTGGACCTGCTGAAAGAAGGGGTCCACAGAACAGCCTCTCTCAGAAGCCGTGGCACAGCCAGTGAACAGCAGAGCAGGCGGCCAGCACCAGCTCCAGTTCTACCACTAGACCCAGGGCTTCACCATCTCATGAGGGATCTGGGCTACCTGAAGAGAAGGACAGTCAGGATGGTGACTTATACTGCTAGGGACATCAGGTGACAAGGACAAGAAAAGAATAAACCGTCCAGCACAGTCATCTCACAGGGCTGAGTGATGATGAGATGTGAGTGACGGAGGCCAGCGGTGGCATGGCACTGTGTGTGTGTGTGCATGTGCGTGTGCGTGTGTGTGTGTTAAATGGCTGCTGGGCCCCCCTCTTGAGGCTGGGGGAGGTGAGCAGTGAAGGCACAGGACCAGCACAGGCCAAACTCAGACGCAGGGGTGGGACAGGGCAGGGGCAGGATAGGGCAGAGCCTTGGAGGACAGACTCTGCAACTTCCCCAGGGCTGGCTCACCCTCTCCAGGCTGCACCTATCAGTGCACAGTAATCTGTTCAGGTACACCCCTTCCCAGCAGTCGCCCCGAGGAAAATCACTTGCTTCTGAAAAGAGCTCCACTTATTCAAAAGCTATCTATCGAGCACCTAATAGGTGCCAGGTGCTTGCTGAGAGGCCACGCAGGAACCCAGAGCCGAGTCGGGTGCCTAGCCCTGAGGAGCAGACAGGATGGGTGCATATGGACGTCCAACAGCAGAGAGACCAACAGCAGCAAGAGAACAGCGCGGTGCGGGCAACCCACACAGCAGGTCATGCTTCTAACCGACGGAGCATGCTTTGGGAGACGATGGCACCTGAGGAAGTGTGGGTGGAGTATCCTTCGGGCATGAGAGAGATCCGGATGAGCAGGGGAGCCCTCCAGGTCTGGACCCACACTAGATGAGGACAGGGCTATGAGGCAGCAGTGCTGGGACTGACGGAGGCTTCATCACTGACACAGAGGCACTTCTCCTGCTTGCTTGGGTAAATGCTACCCGGCTTATTCCTATCAGTGCCTCAAGAGGCAGACCCTACTTTTGTTTAGAGTCTTCAGAAAGCCACCAACGCCTCCCTCTATCCCTTGAATGCCATGGCCTGTGCGACCAGCAGGCCGCGTCCTTCTCCACAAGGACCGCAGGCACTCACTTTTCCGTGATGCAAACTCCTCATCCGAAGGCTTCCGTTCAGGTTTGCGCTTGGGCAGCAGCTTTTTCATGGTCTTGGGACTCTTACTAAGATCCTAGGGAAATAGAAAAGAAAATGCTGACATACTCCAATCATTTCCACTCGCGAATCAGAAAGGCCGCTGTAAAGGTATAGCACCCCAATTATTACAGCACTGATAAGAGCTTCTCACTTTTTCCTACTTTGATTTTTCTTTACCAGCTTCTGAATATTAATTTTAAAATCAATAGGGCATTTTCAGTATTAGTCACTGGCTAATATATTTTCTTCAATCTGATAAAACCCCTGGTGCCATTTGGGTCCTCTTAGTTCTGTGATTAGAAGTGTCGCCAGGAGGCAGGCTGGCGGTGGTGTGCACGGACATCCTGCACGCTCCTGAGGGAGGAGGGGCAGCCACTCCCTGGGGGAGACCCGCCCACTCCCCATACAGTTAACTGGGAAGAGGGGAGGAGGCTAAAGTTGTCATTAAATGATAAGTAAGTAAAAAATAATTGCTTTTAGAAATATCTGAAGTCTCAGGGAGAAGAAAAGAGAGCAAGTGCTCAGCTGCCGGGCTCTGAGTGCGGAAGCACAGCCACGCTCGGCCAGGGCTGCTCTGAGTGCGGAAGCACAGCCACGCTCGGCCAGGGCTGCTCTGAGTGCGGAAGCACAGCCAAGCTTGGCCAGGGCTGCTCTGAGTGCGGAAGCACAGCCAAGCTCGGCCAGGGCTGCTCTGCAGGGCCCACAAGTACACAGCTCGGAGGGTGTTCAAAACAGAACGGCTCACCCCTTATCTCCTCTTCAAACAGCTTCTCAAACACGCACAAAAGACGACAGCAAAAAACAAAATGAACACAGCCAAGTCCAGCAGAGCAGGTAAGGTGTCAAGTGTCAATCATGTGTTAAATACCAGTATCAAAAAAGGCTGGTTTCTGCATCATCCCAATGACATAAACCATCACAAATGTTAACATGTGAAACCAGGACTCAGAAGCAAGCTGCGCTATGGAATGAACCAGGCTGCAACCAGAGGGAACAAAGCTGGGTTTTTTAAGTTACCTTTAAAAGTCTTTTCTTGGGAGCTAAACAATGGGTACACACGGACATGATCATGGAAATGACAGACCCTGGGGGCTCCAACAGCGGGAGGGTGATGGGGGTGAGTTCAGTAAAAACTACCCATTGGGTACCATGTTTCCTCTTTGAGTAACAGGTACCCTAGAAGCCCAAACCCCAGCACCACCTAATACAGCCATGTCACAAACTCTGAATCTAAAATGACATTTAAAAAACAAAAATCTTCCTATAAAAATAAAAATTTCAAAGCTCTTAGAAATGCAGCAGCAATCTGTTCCAGAAGAAACATTTATACACGTGCTCCCTGGCTTCCCTAATTCAAAGCAAATTGAGATGAAGAGCCCTGAAGAGCCAATGCCCACCCAACACGTGCTCCAAGGACACCTGCAGGCACAGACAGTCACGGAGCACACAGCACACCCAATGCCCAGAGCCAGGCAGAGCGGGCAGCAGAGCGGCCTCCACGAGCCTCCGAGTCCTCCTCGCACGTTCCGCAAGATCGCTCTCCACACCAATGCTGTGCAGTGCTTGGCAACACTAGACAGCAGCTACCTGGTGTGAGCCCTTCTCTCCCAGCGTGGAGCTGGCAAAGCAAGTGCAGCCAGATTTGGCAAAACCAAATTGTTTATCTTCACTTCAATACCCCTTCCCTTGCCCTTTCTACTTCTTTGCCCAACAGTTTTATCCCAATCTTCTCTAGTAATTCAATCTCCACCAGTTCTTACAATAGTTCCCTTTTTCTTTAGACTGTGCATACTAACGTATACAAGGAACACCAGCATTCTTCAAGTAACTTCCCTTGATAGAAAAAATTCTGACTTCCACACATGACTACCTGCAAGGGATCATAAAAACGCAGCTCAGTAAGAACAAAAAGTGAAAAGCACTGATCATAAGTTCTCACACAGTACTTTTCTATGGACCTTAAAGCCCTCAAGGCTGCTGGCAAGAATGTAGAAAAGGTCTGCTCCAGCTCCCCTGGCAAATGTGGCCTTGATCAGACACAGAGGCACAATGCCAGGCAAGAGTGCGTCACCCTCACGCTCACACCCACCAATGACACTGCTGCTCACATTCACAGGCACGATACCCTTACCCTCGCAGCCACACACATGCCCAACTCACAGCCATTCCTTATACCTCACCAATGAACACGCTCAACTGCTTATGAAAACAAGACTCATCTCAATTATCAGCTTCCTCAGGTGAAAATAATTCTCAGAACACACTTCTCAAGACACTTCCTTTCCTCATCCAAGCTGGTTTAGGTAAAAGTGTAAGAACATGTTAATACTTATGTTTATTAATTACAATTGTACTTTGCATCTAGCAAATAAAAAATGCTGCATCAGAAGGGAGATGAGCAAAGACTGCATCATGATTTCTTACACATCAAAGCAGGGAACTGCCTTAAGTAATTGTTTTCTCATTTGTATCAGTAAGTGTTCTCTTCCTCTCAAATGGTACTGGGTGACAGAACAGCAGGGCTCCCAGACAGGATCCCCAACCTAGAGGAGGGGTCATTAGACACAACAGACAGCATGCAGGTGCAGAGCGGCGGCCTCACGCACGGGGAGGGAAAGCCACCTAGGAATCAGCCCCTTTCCAGCTCCTGGCCCCCAGGGGTACAGTACTCTGGCAAGCACAGGAAAGGCCTCTCTGTGCATGGCACAGGAAGAAGGGGACGCTGCACACACTCTTCCCGCACAGGGTAATCACGGGTTTCAAAGCAGCAGAGCAGATACCCAGGGAACCGAGACAGGAGGGGGCGCTACACAACCTTCCCACACAGGGTAACCATGGGCCTCCCAGCAGCAGAGCGGATAACCAGGGAACCCAGGCAGACCCCCCCTTCTCCATTCTCTAGGAGTCGGGGTGCATTTTGCTGTGTACCGAAGGACCAGCCTGGCACCCCTGGGGCCCGAGGCATGCTCACCGTTGTCTGGCTGTTTGAGTGGTCAAGGGACCTCACCTCCTTGTAGCAGAGAGCAGCTGAGGGCCGGAGGGGAGGCGCAGGCCGCAGGCAGCTCAGGCTCCAAGGCTTGGGTGTTTTTGGAGGCTCCAGGGGTCCCCAGTTGATGGTGGTGTGCGGGGTGCCATGGTGGGATGGGTGGGGGAGCGTGTGGTAGGCAGGCGTCAGCGGCGCGGGCTTGCTGTCTGCATGCTTGCTGGACGGAGTCACCGGGTGGGAGGGGAGCTGCCGAAGCACAGAGCGGGAAGGGCAGAGAGAACCTGAAACTCGAGTGCTCACTGTGAAAGGGTAGTTACCACGCACTTCCTTCCATTCTTAAACACTCCGTGCGAAATAAACCCCAGGATTTATCATTTCGTTTGAATCTCTGACTCTCAGCAATCAGGTTTTGGGGCCAGACACCACCTTGCACCACCTGGGCTGAGCGTGGAGCTCCCCATGGAGTCTGCTCCAGGCAGGAGGGGCAGCTCAAGCTGGGGCCCCACCACTCCGGCATCGACTAGCCACATTAATTGGCTATGCAGTAACATTTATTAATAGAAAAAAGCTACTTCATCTAGTACAAAGATCAGAATTTTAAAAAGAACACAGGGCATGTGGCTGTAGGAAGGAAGGTGATTCTCCCCAGTCACATATTATTCTTCACCTGGTGATAAAGGGCTGGGCAAAACTAAGGCCTGACTGCCTAGTTTTTTAAAAAAAAATTTTCCTGGCACACAAGCAGGCCTGTTCCTGTCTATGGCTGCTTTTCTGTTCCAAGGGCAAAGTACAGTTGCAAGAGACCTGAACCTGTATAGCAGAGAATGTTTACCATCTGGCTTTTAACTGCCAAACCCTGGTATAAAACAGGCTATTTTCTTAGAAAACTCAACTTTAATCAAATCAAAGTTAATGAAAAATTAACTTCTTAGAGGGGTGTGCTATTAATAAATTTTATATTCCTGGAAAACCCAAAATATCCCACCACAATGGCAGTTAAATGAGAAAAGTTAAATAAAATAAGTAATTCTCACAATCAGCTAATGACCTCAAATTAGCCAATAATAGTAAGGCACGTTTAATGGGCAAATGAGCTGCACGGCGCTGTGAACTGGAAACCCGAGTGGGGTCGGCATTCTGAAGACATGCACGACATTCAAAACACAGGCTATGAGGGCAGGCCCCACAGGAGCTGACGCATGATTTCAAGAACAGGTGCAGTCAACTTACTACGAGGATCACATTCTAGTCCCTGCATGGGGGAGGGACGTGTGGTAAGATGGAGGCCATGCTAGGAAGCCACGGCAAGGTAATCTTTCCATAGGAAATAAAGCATAGATGGATACGGTTATGAAAGACATCCCCTCTAGCAACAACGTCAGAGATAAGTAATATCTGGTTTTGCTTCTCCTTTTCTTGAAAAAAATCAAAGGAGGTATGTATGCTTTATGCTAAAATTAGAATATGATTTCAGCTGGACAGAGTTGGATCACAGGAGAATACGTCATCCCACAAAAGAAACTTGGTGGGAGAGCTGTGAGGCAAGTGTGTTCCATGCTGAAGGGATGCCTTCCCAGCCACCAGTGAAAGAAACACTAAGACAGAGGATCTGGCCACAGCAAAAAGCTGACTTGATATAAAATTTTAAGAAGTCGACTTTCAGGCTGCTGTTGAAAACCTGAGTGAAGCGGCTCATCCCCACTGTTCTTTATAAACACATGTGTACACAGACGTCCCTGGGATAAACTGATCTACATGAAAGAATGGAGAATTTTACAATGGCAGAGCCATTAAAAATGAAATGCTAGCTAAAAGCCAGTGAGTAGTTATAATCTCCATACTGTGGAGAGAAATCAGATGGACTATGAAGCTCTAATGAGAGTATCAGAATACAAGCAATCCTTCTTGAGCTACAACCTTAACATGAAGAATAAAACATGGAAAGTGAGCCTCAGGACAGAACTGACCCTAACAACCTAATGAGGATGCAAGGACATCTGCAGGCTGAAAATGCCGTGTCATCATCACTCATTCTTTATAAGCTCTGCCCAGCTTTTCGGTATTACTTGATAAAGGACGACTGTTAACCCGGTACCAACTTCTTAAGCACAGAACGCCAGGAGAGGTTTACACACTGCAACTTCAGTGCTTATCTATTTTGAAAAGTGGTAATTCTCTAAAAATACAAAGAGTTGTTGAGCCTTTCTAAGTAAAAGATACCTCAATTTCTTAAAACCAAAACAGTGTGCCATAAATTATATTTTAATGCCTTCAACATGAATCTGGCCTTTCTCATCATCATAATCATTTATTTTTCGCTCTCTTAAATGAAGCATAATAAACAGTTAAAATTATCAGGAAAATCATCTATAATTTCGTGTAAAACTCCCCTAAATGAGTCTTCCAGGGCCACGCTGAGCAGAAGCAGCTTCCCGCCCAAGCGCCTCTGAACTGTGTGTGAGGAAGTACAACTCTGGACGGTTTCTCAAGAACACTCACTGGGAAACAATTCACTACAGCCCGAAGAGGACCAAATACTTGCAGAGAAATATGAAGCAAGTGTTTTGCCTTTTTTAAATCCAAATATTGATTAGGTTTTAAAGCACTTGATCAGTTGCTGACAGCTCAGCCACGGGTGCCACCATTTGGAGTCTGGAAGGAGAAGTGCTAAGTCCTTACGGTGTGAGATGGCACCGAATGGGGCTTGATGGTGGGGTTTCCCAGAGACGTGACTTTCGTTTGCTTCTGTAGGTGGTCCACCCATTCCTGCAGATCCTGCTGGTTGTTGCAGGACACTAATATCCGCTCAATCATGCTCCCTAGAAGAGAGAAGGGAAAAAATAGGCCGAGTGGAAACACAGGTAAAAAGCGCGTGCATGCACACACACACTCCCAAATTCCACTCAACGCTTAAACACCACCTTCTGAAATATGCAAGCAAGAATGTGCACGTGGGACAGGCTGCCTCTCCTCCCCGCGACACAGCACTCACACAGCTTGTGCCTATCACCTGATATTTCAAATGCATTTCTATGATTTTCACTGTCCTCAAGCTTTGTGATTGTCATTCCTGTCGTTGGAAGCTTTCCCTAAAAAAGACCCCCCCACAAAAAAAAAAACAATTAGTGCGCTTTTCTAGAAAAAGGTACCATTATTAAAGTAAATATTAAATGATTTTAGAATTGGCAGAGGAACTGTTTGTGAACCAAAAGAAGCTCATATGTAGCAGATACATGCATAATACAAAAATCTTTATCTCAAATAATAAATCATAATACTGTACTGTGAGTAAGAAACTCAACTGGCGATGGGACTGAGTGCCCGAACACACACTGTATCTGACGAGCTGCTACTAAACACAGGCACCAGGACACAAAACATCACACATTATGATTTTTAAAAATTACCGTGTATAACAGACATTTTTGCAGAAAAGAAGCGTGTATTTGTCTCATAAAGAAATGCAGAGGAAGCTCCAAGTTTAAAGTCAAAATAAGGGTGGGAAATTGAGGCAAGAACAATAATTGCATAACATTCTCCTTTGTAATCCACCAAATAGAAAACAAGCAGTTGTGCTAAATGCTGCACACGATGCAGAACATGGGTGGCAACCCAGTCCTCACTGAACACGGAAGAAATCGAAACTGCAACAGGAGACGTCAACGGAGAGACATCAGAATGGGGAACAAAGCGGTCATTACAAACAAGGCAGAAGTGAACACAAAACCCGCGGTGCAGCTCATAGAAGCCAACGGTGCACGGTGGCCCGGCAAATCCTCAGGGAGAGTCCATGTGTATCTGGGCCGTGCTGCTTGGGAGCACACGGTCAGCTTCGGAGCAGGATTCTGCGTGAGCACCTCCAGAGGGAGTGCTGCTCAACCGGTGTGGGGGGCGTGCCCCCCAAAGAGAACGGGTGGCAGTGCCGCAGCCTGGCAGGGGCTCAGACGTCCAGCAAGTAAGAGGCCAGAGAGGCTGCTGATACCCTACAGTGCCCAGGACAGTCTCCCTGAGCCCCCAGCCCTAGGCCACAAATGACCCAGTCCAAAATGTCAGCAGTGCCCAGGCGGAGAAATCCCATCCTAAAGCATAGCAGGTGGAAGAGGAGACTGCTGGACATTTCTGTGGCCAAGCGTATTTTAAAAATGCTACACACTGTGAACTCCTTTCCGAGATTCATAATGCACATAAGTACTTTAACAGCTGTGAGTCCTACAGAAAATAAAACCGCACAACTGTGTTTAACCTAGCCCATCTGAGCGTCAGCGTATAGACCACTATGACTATGGCTGGATCAAACGCTTTTTAGCATCCTCCAAAGCCAGTGTTCTAATAGTAGAAATGGATACTGATGATAGAGAGACCATGGGTCACCACTGTGCTGAGAATGGAAAATAAAATCCAGTTGTTGAGATGAGGTCTCCAGCAGCCTGTCAACACAACAAGGGCAAAGCCAGTGTGACCACCAGCTTCACAGGCAGGGACTCAAGCCTGCCATGAGTGGTACCTCTTCTCCCTTAGGTTAGAGAAGGCCCCTGTCTCCAGCCACTGAAATGAGACTCTGGGGATATAAAACAGGGAGCCAGACAGTGCTGACCAGAAAGGACAGAGATTCAGGTTTATCAAGGTCACTTAAAGAAGTAGCTGCCAGTTTGGGGGAAAACTCTAGTGGGCACTATCTCAGCCACAGATCACCTCTCTTCAGCAGTAACCTTACAAACTACAGCCTTATTTTCCTGAGTCTGTTCCTATACATGTAATTCACCAATTCTAAAGCACCCGTTCGGAGTAAGCATATGACAACAAGTCCTCTCTGGGAGGTCGACAAAGCCTCTGTGAAGGTACAGTGTCTACTCAGGTTCCCTAACGTCCCTGCTGGGAAACACAAAACAACACATGCTATAATGAAATGCAACCCAGAGAACACGAAGCAGTGACTTCTGCTGCAGTGGTTATGTGGTGGCTGGCCAGTCCTCAGAAAGGTGATGGGAAGGACCTGAACCTCTGTAACGTCACAGAAAAAGAAGAATGAAAACTGCCAAGTGCATCTACTAGACACACAGAAAGAAATACCAGCTCCTTCATCTATCACCCACTGTAAACCACTGTCGCAACAGAAAAGGCCTTGCTCGCCCTCGCCTCCTTCTCAAATCCGCTCTCACGTTTTCTCAAAGAAAAGCAGGGAAACAAAAATGAAAACGGTTAAATGATCACACATGCTACTTACATCACTTCCTAATTGCTGATGCATTTGGGCAGCACTGTGGCACTGACAGAAGATCTTAGCCTACACTACCCCACAAGCCCTAGCTGAACCCATTTTACAGAACAAAACTACAGCTGGGAGGAGCAAGGTACTCTGCCTGAAATGACATAAGGAAGTGACAGAGACTGGCTTCTGCCACAGCAGTCTGTGCCCTTACGAGGTTGCTCTACAGATTTACACTTCTTTCCTTTTTTTAAATTAACATAGGATGTGCTTGCATAGTTACAAAACACACAGAGGCTGTACATCCATCTCTGAATATACGGCACATACACAGATAAATGTTAATATTTAACACAAAATCCAAAGCCAGCCTGAAATTACCCTCAGATCCACAATACACAACAAAATATAAATTTAAATTGTGTTTTACCTGATATATAAAGCCACTCATCCTAGGACTGGCAGACAACATTAGCAAAACATTGGGGAAGAGTAGAAGATATCTTTCATTCTTTTCCTAATACAAAAAAAAAAAAAAAAAATCCAAAAAATTTCTTAAAAAACATCTACTTACAAATGTGAGCACAAATACTTATTTATACTGGGCCCTATGAAATATTACATGAATTTCTTATTTAGGTATTTCTATCAAATTTTATCAGGTAAATTAAATGAAAACAAAATTATGATAAATTCTGTACTAAGTCTTAAAATATGATTAAGAGAGCTTTAACATATAAAAGAAAGATTTCTAAATTCTTCAAAAACCAAAAGGTAAGAAAGTAAACGGAATGATTAAAAGACCCTGGACTCACAATTAGCCTGTGTAACATCTTGAAAAAATATTTAGTTAAGGAGTTCAGCTCTGTGATTAACCATTTTCAGGTAAGCTAAAATTTTCTTTTTGTGGTTCAGAGAAAAAGGAGAGAACCTAAAATTTTAGTAGGGTCAGGGGCAATAGGTGGAGTCTTTAAGCTAAAGAAAGGATATGGTAAAATGTTAAAATCAATTTTGGTCTACTAATAATCCCTGGAATTTCCCCAATCCTCCCAAATGTTAACTCAGTGTTGTTTTCACCCACCCCATAAACTTCACCTGGTTTACAACAAACACTTCAAAGTATTACTTTTGTATTAAAAATCATTTGCTTCAGTAAGATAAAAGCCAAAGACCATAAGTGTAAGATAAAAGTTCCTAAGAATCCAAAATCAGACACAGAAATGCCAGACAGTCCTTTTCACATGTTGACATTTAAACTACTGCCCCAAAAAGTGAAATAGGCCCTAGGAAGCAGTTTCCCCGATTATATTCCTCAGAACAGCAGGCCTATGCAAAGCACCTGGAAAAGACTCTTCCACACTTGAAAGAGGTCACTGGGAGTGACTTGCTATATTCCCCTCTTGAAGAGTCACAACATACGCTGGGAATACACAGAGCCAAGTCTGAGGAGCTCTGTCATCAAGAATCTTTACCACTGACTACGTTCAGTCAGGATCAGGACCACTCTGAAGCATTCTGGAGTAACACCCACCAATGCTATGTAGATCTAATATTACAAACACACTTTGGGTAATGTTTCCACAGATTATTTTAAAGTTTAAAAGAGCATGATTAAAAAAGAAACTGCTTCTGAAAAGATCTGAGGTTTATACGATCAGTTTCTTAAGGCACCTAAACTACAAGACTATGTAGAAGGGCTGGTATTTCATAAGTGGACAGGAAAACACACTGTAAAAGCTTTAGGTTTTAGTTTTCTTATTCTCCTTAGAGTCTTGTGTTCAAAAAGGAGTCATTTAGCATGTTATGATCATGTGATTTTTGCAAAAGTAGAATAAAATTCAGAGGTCCCTGTTTAGTGATCCACTGAACGTACGTCTATGTGAATCATGAAACAAACTGATTTTCAGTGTGTGGGTGGGTATGTCACAAAATCTGGGTTGATCTCTCACTTAAAACAAACCCATAAGAAAACTGTAACTCCCACAGCATATGTCAGCTAACATTCTTTCACAGGAAAGTAGAATGACCCAACCATTGAGAGAGCTGGCCCCTGAGAGTGAGAGCCTTGGGACGAAGTTGTTGGCCAGAAAAGCACATGCAGCTCCAGTGCAGATGTATGTACAGGCCTCCTGCAAGTCTTTCTGTACATTATCCTTCCGTCCACACGGGCTTTGGGCCACACTCATCTCAGCTGGATCTAACTGGTCAACAAGTCCACACTTAGCTCTAAGCCTCTCTAACATGCCATAAGCCTCTTTCATGTGTCAAAAATAAAAAGTAGCTCACAAATTATAAGATAGAGCTTCTATCAGAAGTTTTCATTGCTTGAGATTTCTTTAAAATCTTCTGCTACGAGACCCTACGAGTGGGACAGAAACCCTGCCGCGTGTGCGTGTGGATGGCAGTACCTCACTTCCTGCACACTGAATCAGGACCTGGGACATGTAAGTGACGTTGCCCAGAGTTTTAATGTCATCGCCCTCCCAGTTCCGGATGGCTTCCGTCAGGATCTGCAGCTCAAGCTCTTTCCTTTTCCGGACTTCTTGACATTGGGCCTGACAGACACAGAACAACACTGTTAAAAGACAAACTTCCAGAATCTTAAGTTCTGGCCACACTGCTTTGTATCATCCTTAAGACAATTATTGCTTTATATCTTACTTCTTCAGGTAGATAATCTATTGAACAATTTGCTTAATTACATGGAATTCAAAGTATTTGCTTAAAAGTATGAAATCAAGTCGAGAGGCAACGCACATAACTGCTCTGGAATACTAAGTATTAGTTTAGAAAAACTGTAGCAGATTTTGACACTTGTATGAAGAAGAAATGTGGACAGGACAAGAATTGTCTTCCCATTCTGGTTTTGTTAGTGTTTGCCAATACAGAAGACTGAAAAGAGGAAACAAAAAGTATAGCTTGTGCTATAAAATAAGGCATATACTTCAAAACCGCAGTTGGTAAGACAACACAACAGCAGAGACAATGGAACCACCGCTGTTCTCTTTCGCAGTAAATCACTAAATACAACATGAATGGAGGGTAAAAAAAATGTTTTAAGTAATTTTAAAGTAGATCTAACATCAATTATACTGCGCTTTTTAAAAATTTAAATAATTATTCTATCACAGTCCACTAAAAGGAGTTTACCAGCCACAGAATGCCGACTCTGTTTTTCTTTCATGTCAGTACAAGACATTTTTTAATCATTTGACTTTTTCAGTTGATAGTTCTTTTATATTCATTTTCCACAATAATGTCTGGGGGGAAAAACAATATGCTTAATCACTTACTGAAAGGTTTTTGAAGGCAGCCATAGATTTTTGAATATCTTGTCTATCTGTATGATAATCCTTTGAATAAAAGAAACATACAATTAGCTTTCACAAGGAAAATATTTTCTTAAAAAGGTACTTTCTAAAGACCAGCTTGAAACTTTTCTAATACTTTTCAACCCTTCACATTCCCTCTTTTCCCTCAGCATTAAAGTGTCAGTCTTTCAGAAAGTCATAAAGCCATTGGACTTAGGGGAAATATAAGTTGGAACAGAATAGTCACAAGCAGCAGGGGTGGGCAAGCCAATGCTGGCTTCATCATTAAGTCTCCCTGGAACACCGCTCCGGCCCACATGCAGTATTCTAGCTGCTTCTGCACTAAAACAGCAGAGCTGTGGAGCTGTGATGAAGACCTTAGAGTCTGCCCCCTTATGGAAAAGGTTTGCCAACCCAAGCCAAGAGAGTAACTTTTACCCAAATGTCTGCTAGGCTGCAACCTGTTATTCAAAATTAAAAGAGCATAATCATTCATTAAATGATTAGTACAGCATTACCCTATAACTTAGGCACATATTGTCTGTAGCTGGATGATCCAAGTAAGACATCTTAACACTATCTGAAAATCGGTTCTCATGTTTCAGCTTTTGGAAACTTTTCCATCAGCAGCAGTGGGTAAAAGAGATGAGGGGTAAATGTTTTTTAACAGAGCTGAGTAATGAGACAAACATAATATTTAACAAAATCATTTTGACAATCCACTGAGTTAAAACTCCGTAAACTCCATTAGTTCTGGCTTCTTTCACAGGAAGTCTGAGCAGGCACTAATCGTTGGTAAGGACTCTGAGGAAGGGAATGACAGCGCAGTACCTCCATGTGTCTCTCCAGCTCTTTGAGCAGCGTAGGGTATTTATCCAGGCGCATGAAGGGTTTGCTCAGGCCTGTGGTCAGCACAAGAATCCCAGGGCTGCTGGCACCTTTGGTCTCCATGAACTCTCCCAACTCCTCACTGGGCAGCAAGTGGCAAGAGAGAAGACGTTGTGGTTAGTAATGAGAGACCATGGTGGCCCTCTGATCTCCATGAGCAACAGCCAGGATTTATGCAACATGAATGCTGCTTTTAACATCGGGAAGGCTCCAGCTTTTATCCCAAATCTGCACTGCTTATCTGGAAATGCCAAATAGGACTCCCACCACCCGAGGGGTCCCACTGCTGCTCTCCTATGAGCAACAGTAACTGTGCACAGCATAGGATGTGTGGGTCTCCACGAGATGCTTCTGATGGCGAGGCCCTCCGGTACTTCAGTGCCATGCAGACGTGTCCCATGGAAACGTGCACGCTCAGAGCCACAATAGATTCCAATCATCTCAGTCTCAAGGTGGTAAGAACAAGGACCGAGCTGCTCCAGCCAAGAGCTAGAGCACGCTGATGGTGGTCACCCCCAGATGTGGCTTCATCCAGCAAACAGGCCCCACCTACGTGCTGCCAGCACTCAGCCGGGAGTAGGCAACGGCTCTTGGGCGGCTCTTGGGGTGAGGAGCGAGAGAAGCAGCAAGAGAAGAGAGCAAACGCTGCGTTAGGTTTCAGAACTTCAAAAGCTTTGTTACATTTAACCCTCACAATACGTGAGGAAGGAAGGTGTCCCTGTGTGCAGATAGCGAATGCGGGTTTATGCTTCAGAACTTCAGAAGCGGTTACAGCCATCTCCCACAACACACGAGGAACAACGGTGTCCCTGTGTGCAGACGAGAAAACCGACTGCATATCTCAAAATTAAAGGGTGAGAAACAAGCTGTAGATCTTCCTATCGTCCTCTTTCAGCATCCCCTTCGAGGTGCTTCGCCTAGCTTTCCCTATAGCAGGTCCTCATGCGTTCCCACAGCTGTGGCAGAGGACACAGGCCAATGGGTGGTCCAGCTCTTCACCCACATGTCTGTTATGGCTGACAGTCACCTGACGGCGACGCCCCTTCCCTGGCGACCTCTGAGGCCTCTGCCAGGCCCTGGGTCTGCTGTCCCTCACGCTGCATGTGCTATCAGTCCACACATCTCACAGCGTGCAGCCCACAGAAAGGAGGGGAGGCAGCACCAGTGCCGGCAGTCAATGCCACATCCAGGAGACCCCGGCGACCCCTTCATCACCACACCTGTCCTAGGAGACCCGGGGTCTCTAGTCAGCAGAGCTGACTAGAGGATACCCATGACACTCATCCCAGAAACAACTTTTCCTAGTCTAGAGGTTTTCCCTTAGAAGGAAAAGATACTTATATCCTTATTTTATAAACAATGTCCTAAAATAAATGTGAAAATCATAACAGCAAAACTGAGAAACAGCCAATTTCCAGTTCTGGTCTCACAGGAGCCTCCCACTGCACCACCCGAGCCACGCTGCCCACTGCCAGAGGTCTGGGGGACACCAGACCCACCAAAGGCTCCCGGTGAAAAGACAGACAGTGTTTAGGCCAACCCAGAGGACACCGAGTCCACAAACGGTGAATATTAACAGTCTCGGACAGTTCAACCTAAGCACAGCTTTAGGATGCATGGGTCTCCACAAGGGAGTTCACCCTAAACACAGCTTTAGGATATGTGGGTCTCCAGCAGCTCACACCTGTAATCCTAGCACTAAAGGGGACAGACTGCCTGAGCTCAGGACCTCGAGACCAGCCTGGGCAACATGGCGAAACCTCGTCTCTACTAAAATACAAATAAACATTAGCCGGGTGTGATGGCATGCAGCTGTAGTCTCAGCTATTCGGGAAGCTGAAGTAGGAGAATTGCTTGAACCCAGGAGGCAGAGGTTGCAGTGAGCCAAGATCTTGCTACTGCACTCCAGCCTAGGCGACAGAGTGAGACTCCATCTCCGTAAAAATTAAAAAAAAAAAATTAAGATGATAAACACTTTCACAACTCCATATATAAGGCTTCATAATTATTTTATTTCTGTAAGGTAGCCCATCATGCTGATGCAGTTTTAAAAATCAGTAGCACAGAAACTGTCAGAGTACTTGAGAGAGAGAGTGTACTAGAGAGAGAGAGAGTGTAGGAGAGTGTGTGTATGAGAGAGTATATATGAGAGAGTGTATGAGTGTGTATGAGAGAGTGTGTGTATGAGAGTGTATGAATGTGTGTATATGAGTGTGTGTATGAGTGTATGAGACAGTGTATGAGTGTATGTGTGTATGAGTGTGAGTGTGTATGAGTGTATGAGTGTGTGTGTGTGTGAGTGTGTATGAGTGTATGAGTGTGTATGAGAGAATGAGTATGTGTGAGAGTATGAGTATGAGTGTATGTGTATGAGTGTGTGTGTGTATGAGTATGAGTGTGTATGAGTGTGTGAGTATGAGTGTGTATGAGTGTATGAGTGTGTATGAGTGTATGAGTGTGTATGAGAGAGAATGAGTATGTGTGAGAGTATGAGTGTATGAGTATGAGTGTGTATGTGTATGAGTATGAGTGTGTATGTGTATGTGTGTACGTGTGTAAGAGTGTGTGAGTGTATGAGTGTGTATGAGAGTGTATGAGTGTGTATAAGAGTGTGTGTATGAGTGTGTATGAGAGAGTGTGTATGAGAGAGAGAGTGTATAAGAGAGAATGTATGAGAGAGAGAGAGTGCGTATGAGAGACAGAGTATGAGAGAGAGAGCACGCACATGCGGGCATGTGAGGGAGAGCACATGCACCCAAGAGAGCAAGTGCACTTTTGTGGACAAGAGACAACTCAGCACCTTTTGTCTGTAACTTAGTGCTTTTCCAAAATCAATTCCTTGAGGAATTCCCAAGCTTGGGCTGACTGGCATCAAGTGCAGTGCCATCTTCAGGGCCCCGCTGTGGGTAACACCTGAGCAGCAAGTGTCCTGATCAGCATGCAGGATACACTGACGTGAGCCCATGAGCACACTGCACATGTTCCTGTCGTTTCTAAACATGGACACATCATCTGCCTTCTTCCCTTAGCGTCCCCCTTCCCCCGGGAGGTGGGTGGGGAACTGAGGAGGGTCCGGGACAGACTCCCCTCCACTGCAGCCACTACAGCCATTGTCCCCTGCCCTCTTCTCAGCTGGGACAACACTGAGCACTACGGACAGCAGGAGAACAAGGACAGAGGGGCGGTCACAGGAGCGCTCGCCATGCCGGGCACTAGAACAAGCACTCATAGATGTCAATGCCCCCAACATCTCTGGGCAGGGCAGACATAAAATTATGTAAGTGATACAAAGGACAGCCTGCACGCAGGCCTCTGCCCAAGCCATCACTGTCAGCGGAACAGCTGATGCTCTGCACCCAAGGTGGACCCCCGCTGTGTGGGTGGCATGCCCAGTCCCTCTGACCCTGGGGCAGCCTGTTCCTCACACACGCGTCCCTCCCCTCCACCCAATTTTTACTCAAAACAGCTCCTTTCTTCCCATCACTCACTCTATTCATTCCTAAAGCACAAATAGAGTAACATAGGGCTTTAGACAGAAGCAATTTATATTTTACTAACAATTCTCTAGGTGTTGGAGAATTTATCAGGCAGTCCCATGAAAATCCAACTTGATGACATATATCTCAACTCCTTTAAATGTAATTCACATAAGGGCCTTTTCTACCAAAACAGTAATCAAGGAAAAATCCATTCAAATCATTATTTGTGTTTCAGGGTTACCTGTGAAATTTCCTAACTATGGTACAGCAGAGAAAAACTGACAAAACTAAACAGAGTTACCCTCATCACCATGGGCCTCGAAAAAAGCCCTGAAGCCAAAAAAGTGAAATGTGTGCAAGCAATACTAACTTCTTTTAATATCCACAAGACACTCTTACAATGCTGGCACAAATACAGTTAAAAAAGGAAATAGAATTTTATAAATTTTTGTGGATCGCTTTTGCTTCAGTTTGAAGTTAAAAAAAAAAAAAATTAGTGCCATAATAAAATGAAACAGCTAGTTACGGCTACTCTGACCAAAGGTGGCTCTTTCAGCCTCACTCTGCTGATGCCAGCAGCCCGTGCACAGTGGGTCTCCTGGGTCCTTACTGACGCAGCGCCGTGGGCTGCCGGCAGCCACAAAACACATGAAATCATGGGGCCAATCACAAAGGAACAAACTGCTGGGAAAAAAATCGTTTTCACAGACTAAATTACGACACCCATAGTTCATTCAAAATAGCCGGGCACAGACAAGCACCGCCTCCATCACAGGACACCAAGGAAGGTCAAAGCTGCTAAAATGCTGGGAGATGGCATTCTGCACCCACCGGGCTCACACTTAGAACTTAAACCCAAGCAATGTAAGGACTGTGAGGATGCAAATCAGACTTTCAAATTTCAACCCACTACACTTCAACCAATCCTTAAAAATGACTCAAAACAGCATGAGCAGATATGCGCCCACAGGCATGGCAGCTTAAAGACCTTCACGCATGTGGAAAGGCCGGCAAGAGGGACAAGTAAGAATCAAAGCACAGAGGCAGGAAGTAGGAAGGAGCCTTGGCACAGGGAGGCGTGACCCCAATTCACTGCCCTGGCCTTTGGGGCAGGGAGGGATCTATGGCCAACAGAGCAGGAGTTCTCAGGGTGCAAGGACCTCAGGAGGGCACGCAAGCCTCACATTCCACAGTGGTGGCATCTGCTGGCTCGGGGGAACCCTCCTCTCGTTGCGGCTCTGACGGAAGCAAGTGACATGCCCTGGGGTTGCTGTCCAGAGCGGGCCTCAGCCGGCCCCTTCACTCTCTGGGCAGCCCTGGGGAGGAGGGACAAAGACCCTCCTGACTAAAACCCACCTGTATTCTTTCTTGTTACTTCAGGAAAACACTACATGTACATCTAAGACCCAACAACCACAGTCATTAACGTAATTACAGAGAAGAGGTTAAATGCAGCTCTCGAGCACATGCTCTGCTCTTGAATGCCTTGGGTTTTAGGAAACTAACAGTCTCAGTGACTTTCAATGTCATCTGTAGGACAGCTCGATTTTGGGAGGAAAATACTGAGTTAAGACTCTCTTCCCCCCAAAATTGTCCATCCTACCCCCTATTTATATTCCCAATCCCACCATCTAGGATCAACTCCTTTCCCCCAACAAAGGGGATGGGGAGAAAAAAATAAGGCTTTCTAATGTTACCCTCACATTCCACTTACTTTCTGTTCATCTTCCTCATCGCTCCGTCAATAATTCCTGAAGAAATTCCAGAGATACAAATGTAATACTTGCACTGCACTTTTATGGAAATCTCATTCGATGTATAAATCCCCAGGAGTGGAGTGGAGGGGAAGGGATAGCGCGTAACTGAAAGCATGCTGGGTGCTTAGAGACACTGCTGACACAGCCCACACTCCCAAGTAGGACCTCACGGAGGGAGGGGTTTTTTGGGTTCTCCTTTTCTGTGACTGCTGTGTGTTCTAACTTCCTTTCCTTTCACTGCATTGTTAAAGGCTGCTTTTTCCTTCCAGGGCTGCAGATGCTTTAATAACAAATAGGAAGTTCACAAAATCTTAATCCTTTAATATTGGAGCACGCCCAGGAAACAGTAACTATCCAGGGTCTTTTTTATTTTTTTAAACAATAGAAGACAACAAAACATCCACTGAACATGTAAGCGTGTTCACCCTGACATGATCTGCTGACAGTTTTTCTGAATGCCGACAATATCCCTGTGAATGAGTTCTTTCAGGAAAGGACGCTGAAACCCAGAGACAGGAGGAAGCCTGCTATGGCTGCACAGCCTGCAGCAGCAGTCACAGCCACAGCCGAGTCCGCTCTGCTACCAGGTCTAGTCTGTGGAAGGACACCCACGCAGGGCCAAACCTGAGCCCCGGATGTGCTTCTCAAGAGGCGAGGAACACCTGCTCACTGAAGAGGCTTTCTAAGTTCTGAGTTGAAATGTTTGATGAAGAGTAAGCTGAAGTTAAATATTTAAGTTAGAAAGACAATGGCATTTAACTTGATACTACTAAAACAATACTTTTTCCATTTACGGTTTTTAAAACGTGAACTTGTATTTGCAAAAAAAAATTATGAAATTTTTTGTAAAACATTAATATAATTCTTTGGCCTCTTTTAGAAGCAGAAAGTGAGCCTCTGAGCTCTCTAAGCCCACGTGTGGTCTCCTCCAAGCCAATCCTCAAACAAATAATTAGAGCAAATCCTCAAACAAATCTATTCTTAACACTCTCTAAGGACCGAGGTCCTCCTCAATAACTGAAACAGCTGAGAAATATCTTCCTCCAATTTGCAGGAAGCAGACGTTGCCGTGTCTCATAAAACGAGCAAAACAATCTGTACAGTCTCTGTTGCACTTGTTTTTAGTTTCAGGTTAAAAAGCTAAAGCTAATGGCCTCCAATTTAATGTTCTGTATATAAAACCTGATCCTAATTTGAAATTCGATCCTTTCACAGCTGATGTAATCTGCACTCGTATACTTCCACTTTTAAGAACTGAGAGAAATATGATTCCAGGACCCTTGACTAAGCTTGTGGCTACACCCCTCAACACTTACCGATTCCTTCAACCTATTAGCCAAAGGGCTCCAGGCTGTAGGGGAGACATCAAAAAAAAATCTCTTTTTACAACAATACTCACCATCATTTCAAAGACTTCTCACCAGTACTTCTCAAGCACTAATTTTGAGAGGTAATTAAAATTCATATCCTTGCACCCTATGAAGGACACAGAGCTGCCCGCCTTCCCTACTGCCCAGGAACATAGTGAGCGAACCTGTGCTCCGTGAGGACGTTCACTGCAGAAGGGTGATTGGCACAATATGTGAGGTACAGGGTTTTCATCTGCTGCATCAGGTTTAAAAAGCAGCCTCCGACTCTCTGCTGAGCTTCGGGCAACCTGGAGAAATGTGACATAAACGGAAATCGTCATCAGTTTTACAGACAAAAGGACAGCTGCTAATGACAAACACAGTATACCTCTGAGTGAGGAAAACTTTCCTCTGCACCCTATCTGTGAAAATGAGATGCCCCGACCCCAGCATACACGTGTTGCTGCCTTGAGTCCAGCAGAGAAGGGGCGCCCAGCAAGCAGCTCTACTGCCAGGTCCTCTCTTGCAGCGTCCAGACTGCCAGGACTGCGCACTACATCAGGACCAACTCTCAGGCCCAAGCTCTTTGGGCAGTGAGAAAAACATGTTCAAAGCCTTCAGTTTTGCATAAAATAAGGAGAATTGCTGAATGTGGTTATTTGGTCTGCAAGTTTTCTACCAAAGTGGCATCAAGGCTAACAAAAAATACAAAAACTGCATTTCCCTTCAGGTTAGAGACTGAAAAGCAAGCCCACCTAGCAGGTGCCTCTCCTCCCTAGATCCCCACCATCCTGACAGTTAACAGGCTTTTCCAAAAAGCATAAACTCAAGAGAACAAAAATAATGAGGAAGAGATGACCAGAAGGAGCAATGGAAGCTGCAAAACAGATATGAAGGGTGGCGAGTCGGCACAAGCTGCAGGCATCAGGGCCCTGGGCAGTGCCACCTCAGCAGGGGGTTGTGCCTAACAGGGTACTACATGCTCACCTCTCCAGATCTCAGGGTTTCTGGGGTGAGGACACCAGCAGCAACCCGGAGCAAGGGCACATGCGGAAAACCGGAGGCCCATGCGAACTCTTACCACCTTCCCTGCACCCCAGGGCGTCTTTGCTCCCCAGACACCCACGATATTCCCAAAAGGATTACATCCTTCTACCCAGGGAACAGGAGCCAGGAAAAAAGTGACCAAAACACTAATGCCACGGATTCCTCCAGAAAACAAAGAGTCACTAGTCCAAGCTCCTGGAGAGCACTTCCAAAGTGTTTTCAGGCATGAAAGGACCACAAACACATTTGCCTAAAAAGGGGGGGACATGAAGGAGCAAAGAAGAAAAAGGAAATTTGATAGTCATTCCACATCAGAATAAAAGTTCCTGATACAGAAAGCCAAAAACTTAAGCAGAAGTCAAAGAAATCATCACATGACTAAGCAAAAAGAGTGCAAGGCACAAGATCAAAGATGTCCAAGACGTCAGCACGGGCTGAAAGAAGACCGGGGCCCCAGACAACAGTGCGGTCATTCCAAAGCCCAGAAACAAGGATACAAAGGGCTCTGAGTGAGAAACACTGGTTTCACACCAAGAAGACAGAACAGCACGGGGCTCCTCAGTACCAGAGCCTAGAGACACTGAAGCCCCCCTTGAAATGAGGGGTGGAAATCCCTCCCCCTGTCTCCATCTCAGGCAACAGTGAACACTCATGTGGATTAACTGCCCAACATGCACTTGCTCCTCAGGAATCTCCCAGAGCAGGTACTTAACCAAAATGACAGAGGAATGCAAAAAAAGGGAAAGACGGCATCATCCAACGCAAAGGTGGACGGAGCCCAGGACTAGGGTTCAGGCCTGCAACTCGTGGGGACACCGCTTCTGCTCTGCCATCCCCTCAGATAAGATAAGCACATGGCCTCGGTCCACCCCTGCTGGTAACAGAACACCTCGGACTGGGTAATGTACCAACAACAGAAATGCACTGCTCACGGCTCTGGAGGCTGGAAACCCAAGATCAAGGCAGCCGCAGGTGGTTCCCTATGCATCCTCACAGGGGCAAGGGGCAAAACAGCTCCCACACAGCTGTTACAAGGGAGCTGATCCCATTCATGAGGGCTCCATCCTCACGACCTGTCTCCAAGCCCTACCTTTTAATACCATCCAGCTGGTGACTAAGTTTTAAAGATGATCTGGGCAACACATTCAGACCACAGCACACTCTGGCTCCCAACATGCCTTTCAACCCTGCAGGCAGGACCTCAGGCCCAGCATTCCTAGTCCACCTGCCTCCCATCCAGTCTCTGGGTGTGTCTCCTCAGCATTGCTTTTCGCTCTGCAGCTGCTAAGTAGTAGCTGGAGAAAGTCATCGTCAGGAGAATCAGCAAGTCACAAGTATTAGGAAAAATCTCATGTTCAAAACACAGAGTACTCAATTTATGCCAACTTGGTCTTCTCGCTGTTTTGCAACAATTTTTTATTCATTCCTTATTAACTGTTAACCGAGGCTCAAAAAGACGGTTCCAGCTCTAATCAATGTAATAAAATTTACTGAGCTGTTACCGGTACGTCCCACAGTAAGAGCTGTGGAGACAGAAGGGCACAAGGAAGTAACGCCGTGAGAGTTCCAAACCCCACTGCCGCCGCCGCCTTCTCTCCTCAGACTCAGTCATTCCCGCTACCGTGGGCCTTCCCTTCCAGACTAGATAAATGTCAGTTTTATAAAACATGGGCTTTGGAAAAGAGATGAGAGTATACCTCTGCTTCTAAAACGCAGCAATAACGTAGGTGCCAAATGTAGTTAATGTAAATAATACAGACAATAGAAATGCAAAATATAGACAATAAAAATATCCCACACAGGTTCAGGCGGCTGATCTGTGTAAGAACATACCAAATGTAAGTGCTCCCTCCACCTACCAGTCTCTTCTCTGTGCTGGGTAAAAAAAAGACCAACACCCTCCTTCAAGATTGAACTTTCCATCTCTTTGCCTCTCTTAGCGCTCCTTTGATCTCTGTCCGAGCAAGACATGTCCCCACCCTGTGTAATGGAGGAGGCTCACAGAAGCACAACAGGTACCCGCAGGGACAGGAAGTTCAGTGAGGTCTGCAACAGCCGGGGCCTCTCCCACAACACAAGCAGGCTAAGGGTGAGGATGCAGAAGTCCTCCTGGTGGTGGCGGTGACAAACAGACCTCTGCACAGATGGGAAGCTGCCCCACCTGCCTAATCTGCCATGCTTCTTTGCCCTCGAATTCAATAGCTACTAGCCACCTGCAGCTATTTCAAGTAAGGTTAATTAAAATAAAATAAAAAAATGAAAGTTCAGTTCTTCAGTTGTGTTAACCTCATTTCAAGAGCTTCACGGCCCCAGTGGCTAGAGGCTACTGAAATTTGTATAGCAGATACAGCACATTTCCATCAGTGGAAGCTCTGAACAACACTAACTCATCCAAGCCATGTTTCCAAATCCTGAATGTGTCATGCATTTATTATAGAGCTTTACTGTTTAGTTTATTAAAGCACAACTGAAGGCAAAGTAAGCTAGCATTTGCACTACTGCAGACCCATTTCCAACTGTGAACAGGTAAGTGGGGTTTTAATAGCCTTCAGGGATTAGCCACAGTTCTGTCTGCATTTGCAGGATAGTCACTGACTCACAAATTAATTTCAACTACTGTAAGTATGCAGCACCATTACAAGGCACTGGGAGCAGATTAGAAACAGGGTAAGAAACAGTCGCTTCCTTAAAGTGACTGCTATCATTTTGGGGAATATGAAACAATTACAAAAGTAAACTGAATGTAAGACAATATGCAGTCTCAATGACACGAGCTACAAACTGCTGCCAGCTTACAGACACGGAAGGACCCGCCCCTTAATCCCGGTACTGAAGGCACACAGGTTTTGAGAACATTACACACTGACATCTGAGCAGGTGATGTTGATGTTCAGTGACACAGTACAGCACTGGAAGAGGCTGGCTTCTAGGATGACAGAACCCTGCGTGCCTCACTGGGAGGACTGAAGATAACTGAGTAATGATGGAAGGCCAAAGCTGGATGAACAAAAAAAGAACACAGCCAGAGATGCGGCACAGGAAAATTATCGGATACGTGTTACCTAAAATGGGTTAAATTCTTACACTGCAGAAATACTGCTCAGTGCTGGGCCACAAAGTATGCAAAGATTTCAACTCCTATCTGGTCCAGTGCCACAGCCCTGATCCATTCAGAAATGAAAATTAAGATAAACTGATTTCCATTTCTGATACTTCATCAATTATTGAAAATTAAGTCACATTTCAGAATAGCTTATAAAGGAACAATTACTTCAATGTACAAGTGTCTTTCCCTATTTCATTCACCCCCACCCCCGAGCCGAGGCCCTAGATTTTTATTACCTCTTTCAGTCCCAAACCAATTCTCCAACAATTTTCTGTCACTGCCACCCCCAGTTCCACGGCTGATAAAGCCCTTGTAATCATTAATTCAGTAGCAGCTGAAGCTCATAGAAGTCAGCTGAGTCCCAGGACTCGAGCATAACGTGCCAACATACACCGCACGTAATGCCGCCTAGGCACCTAAATTCGCTCGACAACCAACCAGACTCTCAGAAATCACCAGCACAGAATATGAGCTCAGAGTTAAAGGAGAGGATATGCGCCCTGGTTCTCTCTTGTGCTCCACAGGCTGTTCTTCAGAGTGTGATAATGTGCAGGAGGGCATCCCACGGGGGCTACATCAAGGCCATGGGCAGCAGGAAGGTGCACATGGGTCACTAGAGGCACCACGCATCATGCCAGGTGCTTCCACCAGGCCTCCTGGCAGAAGCAAAGCCATGATCTACAGGTGTGGTGTCACACTGTGTCCATGAATGGTCCAACATCTGATGACAGCTACAGTCACACATACTCTATTCTCTATATCTTCAGAGTAACAGCAACAGCACAAGGTAAAAGGGGGTACCCAAGGGTTTTTTTCCCCCCTTACCCAGAGTAAAGATGACTGGGTCTCAGCAAAAACATTTGAGAAATCAAAGAGATGCTAAGCAGTTTCTTCCACAACACACTTACTCCTAGTGGTACTACTAACTAGACAGGAAGGGTTCTCATTTCAATAACAAGTGATTTCGGATGGAAACTAAGATGCATATGAAGACAGAGCCACGTGCTGGGGGAACCTCCACAGACATCTCCAGCCACAAAAACCCAGCAATCTGTCCATGATCGACAGACAGCCTTCACAAACAAGGCGTCACAAGCAACCTCCTGTCCCACTCAGGGTGTAGACAGACAGACAGACAGACACACACACACACAG